GACCAAGAGCACATCTTCCTCTTTCTGTCAGGGCACCCGCATAGGCAGCTTTGCAGTTTTTGCTCCAGCCTATAAAGAGGAGTGTCACTTCCTGTGACCCACGTCCATCCGGAACTTTATGGCTTCCCTTAATTTCAGGAGAGGCCTGCTTGCAATTAAAAAGAACAGAAACGGGAAACAGAGAGTCCTAAAGGCTCCCGTTCCGGGTTCTGGCTTCAGGGACTCTTAGATCCCTGCCCTCAGGACCTCTTTTCTTCTGTCTGTTTTGCTCACTGAGAGGAGCACAGGGTCCGGGTACATGGGTCTCTGTTTGTTGGCCTCACTAACAAGAGTTTTCAGATTCACAGCGAAAGCTCTACCCACCTGTGACCTCATAGCTCCCGGGAATGGAGACGTGCACCCCTAAGAAAGAGAATTTCCAATCCAGCTGCTAAAGGTTAAGAATAAACGTAATAAGAGACTCCATAATAAAAATATTGCCCAAGGAAATGCGTCATAAACCACTTCCCGGCCATATTCCCTGTTATTATAACCTGGAAATGCATTTCCAAACATAACTCCCATTGCTGCTATAATCTTTAAGGAGCTTTGGCTAACCGGAAATTGGTACCCGCCTTTGTTTCCTGTTCCTTGAGGGACAGCTTGGTTAGGGAGCCAGCTGGGGGGAGTTACCATCAAAGCTGCCTATTCTGCCCCTTTGAAGGAGGTAGACTCTTGAGTCTTCTGTTCCCATAAAGTTTAATGATCCATATTGACTTTGCATCAACCAACCAACCTTTGTCTTCATGGTTGTTTAAGAAAGGATATTACATCATCTGGAGAGGGGCCCTGGACCTAGCCATGTTTCCACACCAAGATAACAAGCAAAAAGAAATTACATTAGTTTACTTGTGACCTATTAAGAGCCTGTCAAGAATGTGAATGGTCCTCTCCTCCCTTGCATCAGGAAATGCTGAACTTTTATCGGTTTTCTGCTTGGAAGAATATTGATCATAATTTCACACGAACAGACCCTTGGTGTAGAGAGACAGTAGTAGTTCTATGTATTCCATTGCCAACTAGAAAACGTATTGGATATGTAGAGTTTAGATCCAGCTGTTGATTTTTTTAACTGACCAAAAGGATTTCCAGCTCACTGCTTCTTTAAAAACTAAGATAAAATGCAAACATTATAAATCTCACCCATCTGAGGAATAATTTGGTGGGCTTTTCTGTGTGCCCAGAGCTATGCGGTCATCATCATACCTCTAATTCCAAACATTTCTGTTGGAACCAGCTCGCTCCTACACAGTCTGAGAAGCACCGCCCCTCTCCTCAAACTCCACCCTCTCAGAGAATCACAGACAAAGACAAGACACCAAAAAGCCCAGGTCCACATTACTGGTGCCTGCAGAAGCTTCCTCCCCTGAAGTTGCCAGCAGCCCAAGTCCCTGCCTAAAGCATTCAGTTTTTGACCATACTTGGGCACAATCCCAGCTTGTGTTGGACACGTCATCACCTCTCGCCTGCAAGCTACATAACCGCCCTGCTCTAGTTCGGGCGCGCGACTTCTCTGGCCTGGATCTCTGGGACTGGAGAATTCATCTGGGAGTTGCTTTGCTCAAATAAACCTGTTCTTTTACTTTTTCAATTCGGCTTGATCTGGCTTACTGTGTAAGTGGAGAAACCTATTTTCAGGGTACGGAAAACCTATTAATTTCCTTTTAAAGAAACTCTGTAATGGCTAACAAAACTCCATGATTGTTAGCAGTCGCTTCCCATCTTCCCTCTCTTTGATCCTTTGCAACCATAAATCAGCTTTAATCTACAGCTTTTCATGTATGGATTTTCTCTTGATCTGCAAGCACCACCAAATTAAGCATTTTACACTTAAATGTGAGACTAGAGACAGTAAAAAAGAAATTGAAATATGAAAAGGTTTCTGGCAAGCGTGGTAAGCATGCAAATGTTTCTTTTGCTCATGTATCCACTTATCATTTACATTTACTGAACACCTTTAATCATTGTCTGGCTATGTATAAAGCAGGAGCATTTACAAAGACACACACTGGAAAAGACAAGAAATACAGCATAATACAAGAGTCTATAAATACAGTACCCCCTTACCAAATGGATACCAAACCCAAAGTAAGAAAAGATGAAGGGCTAGAGAGGTTGCGCAGCAGTTAAAGCATTGGCTCCTCTTCCAAAGGACTGGGATTCCCAGCTCCCACATGGTGCCTTGAAAGCATCTGTAACTCCAATTCCAGGGAATCTAGTTCCTTGTGGCCTCCACAGGCACTGGGCATGCAAACCAGCCCAAACTGGCTGGTTTGGTGTCAACTTGACACAAGCTAGAGTCATCAGAGAGGAAGAAACCTCAGTTGAAGAAATGCCTCCATGAGATCCAGCTGTAAGGCATTTTCTCTATTAGTGATCCATGGGGGAGGGCCCAGCCCATGGTGGGCAGTGCCATCCTTAGGCTGGTGGTCCTGGGTTCTATAAGAAAGTAGGCTGAGCAAGCCATAGGGAGCAAGCCAGTAAGTAGCACCGCTCCATGGCCTCAGCATCAGCTCCTGCCTCCAGGTTCCTGCCCTGTTTGAGTTCCTGTTCTGACTTCTTCCAGTGATGGACTATGATGTGGCAGTGTAAGTCAAATAAACCCTTTCCTCCCCAACTTGCTTTTTGGTCATGGTGTTTTGCTGCCGCAATAGAAACCCTAATAAGACACAACCAAAACACAAATACACATTAAAGAAAAAAAGGAAAGAAAGAAAGAGAGATAGGGATGGGAGGGGTGAACTGTATTAATGTCAATGTAAAAATGCTTTCTGTAAGTGTAGATTATAGAGTAAGGATGATGGAAAGAAAATATACCACTGCTTCTTCAGAAAAGAATGGGTACAAGGTGACTTTCCCTCCTTCCATGAACCTGGTACAGTGGTGCACACCCAACACTCAGGAGGCAGTTGGTTCTATGTGAGTTTGAGGCTAGTGAGGTCTACATAGAGAGTTCCAGGCCAGCCAAAGCTACATAGTGAGACTCTGTCTCAAAAAATAAAAGACTATTACGCTTGAGGAACTAGAGCCAACAGAAAGAACTATATTCAAATGCCAGGTTCCTCTCTTACAATGAAAGTTGAAAACTACATCCACTTTATATTGTTTCCCCTCATCTCCTACCAGTTATCTGTTTCTGAAAACAAAATACTCCAAGACATTGTGGCTTGTGGTGATGTATTGTGCACCCCAAAAAAGCTTTCCTGGGGATCAGAGGACAGAGCCAGCCACTAAATTAGACATAGAGGTCAGGCAGTGGTGGCACACACCTTTAATCCTATCACTGGGAGACAGAGATCGGAGATCTGTCTGGATCTCTGTGAGTTCAAGGCCACACTGGGCTACATGAGAGAAACAGAGCCAGGCAATGGTGTCACATGCCTTTAATCCCAGGAAGTAATGTGGCAGGACACAGAAAGGTATATAAGGCGTGAGGAAACAAGAACTCCCTCTCTTGAGGGGGAGGATTTCGTAGGGGTAAGAACTAGTAGCTGGCTGCTCTGCCTCTCTGATCTTTCGGCTTTTACACCAATGTCTGGCTCTGGGTTTTTTATTAATAAGACCATTCAGCAGTTCGTGTTACAGTGGTTGAACCCAGAAACCACTCATTCTGCTCACAGACTTGAACTTGTACAGAGCTCAGAGGAGACTGTGGTTTGGTTTTGCTTTGTTTAGTTTTCCACGTTGTTTTTGTGTAGAATGCTTTCAGTATGACCGACAAGTTGCTTCTTACTGTTGCCTGGTCTGGTTTATGGTCGTGATCTGTGTTTTGATTCCTATCCACATGGGCCTTTCAATGGGCTATTGGGTTCCAAAAGCAAGCATTTCAAGTGAAGGGACCAGTTTTATAAAACCTGGCCCAGAAAGTGACACAGAATTGCTGCCATGTTCTGTGGTCAAGAAGTCAGAGTTCAAATTCAAGAGACAGGATGTAGATCTCCCCTTTATACAAAAAGGATATCAAAGAATTTGGAAGGCATATTTTTAAGCTGAAATCTCTCTCTCTCTCTCTCTCTCTCTCTCTCTCTCTCTCACACACACACACACACACACACACACACACACACACACACACACTTTGCATATACACTGAAGTCATGCGGTCTGTTCGGAAAATCTAATATGAAGTACACACACACTCAGATGATATATCCAATTTCAGATCTGGAAAGTGATTTTAGATTCAAGAGTGAAAATGAACAGTTAGTGAGAAGAATGCCAATGGGGCAGGAGGAAGATATGAAGAGGAGAAAATGAAAAATGAAAGAGAAGTTAAGTCTTAGTCTTAAACACTGGGTTCAAAAGCAAAAAGTTGATAGTAAAAATTGTCATCGGGGATGGGCAGTGGTGGTGCACACCTTTGATCCCAGCACTTGGGAGGCAGAGATAGGCCGATCTTTGAGTTTAAGGCCAGCCTGGTCTACAGAGCAAGTTTCAGGACAGCTAGGGATACACAGAGAAACCCTGTCTTCAAGAAAGGGAGGAAGGAAGGAAGGAAGGAAGGAAGGAAGGAAGGAAGGAAGGAAGGAAGGAAGGAAGGAAGGGAGGGAGGGAGGAAGGAAGGAAGGAAGGAGAGAGAGAGAGAGAGAGAGAGAGAGAGAGAGAGAGAGAGAGAGAGAGAGAAAGAAAGAAAGAAAGAAAGAAAGAAAGAAAGAAAGAAAGAAAGAAAGAAAGAAAGAAAGAAAGACTGTTACCAGGACTTATATCTCTTCTACTCTTACAGTGTGTGCTTGTCAAATTTAGGCAATGGATATATATATAGTGTTCTATAAAGGCATAGTATAATATATACCAATCTTAAATACTCCATCAAAAATAGACATTTCAAGCAACACTGCCAACATAATCAAATCTGATAAACAATTAAAAAAATCTGTACTAACGACTTGTCTTTTTGCTACAATAAAATATCCCACAAAAACAACTTCAGGAAGTTATTTATTTGGCTTACGTCTCTGAGGGAAACAGTTCACCACAGCAGGGAAGATATGGCGGTAGGAGATGATGGCTGGCCACGTTGGTCCAGAATCAGAGGAATGGATTCTTATGTTCAGCTGGCTTTCTCCTTTTTATGTAGTCCCATGGTTTGGATCGGCTTTGGAGATGTTGGCATGAAGTCGTGACCTAAGTAGATAGGTAGATAAAGGTGTATCCATGAAAATACCTACATAAATATGCATGTGTGTTCACAAATATGTAATCATGTATCCTATCTATACTAACGGGGCCTAAAAGCAATGCTAACTCAACAGTAATGAGTGCTCCTAGGAACCCTAGCTGGGTTTCTAAATACCCTTCTGAAAAGGCATGCTGCTGTCACAGAGAAGAGCTCATTCTGGAGTGAGAACAGGAAAACACAAAATGAATTTGGGATATCTTGTGATGCCAGAAAGCAAAGTAATGTTCGTGAATGATGTGTGTGTGTGTGTGTGTAAGAGAAGCCAGCCTGAATGACCTGGCCTCTCTAAGGTCAAAGCTGGACAAATTGGGACAAGAAAATGAATGATTGCAATTTATAGATTGTTGTGGGAGGTCTTTCTGGATGATGTGACTATGTGTTACTCCCATTGGCTAATAAATAAAGCTGCATTGGCCTATGGCAGGGCAGGATGGAGCCAGGCAGGAAAATCCAACAGAGAGACAGGAAGAAGAAAGGCAGAGGCAGAAAGAGAGACTCCAGCCACCACCTAAGGAACAGCAAGATGTCAGCAGACTGGTAACGCCACAGCCACGTGGTCATACATGCAAGCAACTTATATATTAACAGAAATGGGTTGAGTTAAGTTGTAATAGCTAGCTAGCAAGAAGCCTGAGCCATAGGCTCAGTTCATAATCCAGTTCATAATTAATATAAGCCTCTATGTATTTACTTGGGACCAAGCAGCTGGGGGACATGGGTGGGCGAGATTCATCCTGACAGCAGGGCTGGGCAGGACCAGAGAAACTTACTGCTACAATAGAGTAAAATGGTTATTTATGTCTATATTAATATATATCATTTAATGATAAGTTAAGGGGAGACAAGAGAATTCTAATTAGTGAAACTCTCCTAGTCTGAAGTGTCTCCTCTAAGAGCCTTAGTGCTTCTAGGGGGACAGCCACACAGTGGAGACAGCACACACCAGTTCCCCAAGGGGTCAAAGTCAACATTAGCAGTGCTGAGACATGCTGACGTCATCGCCGCTCTGATAGCATCACTGAGAAGAAGTCAGAGGAAACCAAACTGAGAGATGTTCTGCAGAGTAGCAGGCCGGCCCTCTTTACACTTGTTGGCCAAGATAAACAGGAAAACCACACATCCCTCAGTTGGTGGAGCGAGAGAAGACAGATATGGCAGGGAAATGCGGTGTGCAACCCAAGGTCAGCTACTCGAACACAGAAAAGGACAGACTCTTGAGAGCCAACTGATGTTTGTAGTCTTGTTTACATTATTGACCGATGTTAATTTCTGAGATTCTTTTCTTGCAGACCCAGTAGAGCTGTCTGAGGAAGAAACAAAAACAAAATCTGTGAAAATACAAAATCATGTATGACTTGAGCTTATTTCCTGGACCATAAAAACTTAAATATCGAAACTTTAGTCTGGGCTGAGTTATCACGATAGTGACTGTTAACAGATCATTATTTAAAACTGCTTATCTTCACAACTGTTTATAAGTAATCATTGAACACAACTCATTTCTCTCTTTGGAAAGTCCATCTGCCATTCTGCATGTTTCTGGTGGATTAGTGAGCTATGGTATTGAGAAGGCTGTGTTCCCACATCTGTTATCAGGGAAAGACACAGTGAGATCACATCAGGCTTGTGGACATTGGCTGGTGAGTAATATCTGTAAAAAGAGAAGTAGAAGAAGGGTCGGCAGGGAACCATGAGAACACCAGTCCCTAAAATCTAGCTCTCGGGCTGCAGAGATGGCTCAGTGGTTAAGAGTACCGAGTCCCAGCACCCACATGCAGTCATGGCTGCTGTCTGCAATGTCACAACTGTCTATCCCTCTAGCTCCAGTGGATCCGACGTCCTCTTCTGTTCTCCTTGGGCACTAGGCACCCAAGGGGTGCGTGGTCATACATGCAAGCAAAACACCCATTCACACAAAATAAAAAGAAATAATTTTTAAAACAACAACAACAAAAATTGGCTGTTAACCACAGCCATCACAGATGTCCCACTGCTCATTTCCTGAAGAGAGGCCTTGCAGGGCCATCAACATTATATGACCAAGGTTTAGCCAGAGGTCTCCCAAGCCTGACTGAGGCTGACTCAAGCATGTGACCTGAATCAAGCCAATGGGAATGATTTCTGAACGTTATGGAGTTTAAAGGAAAAGCCCTTTTCTATGGTATTTTTTTTTTTTTTTAACCTGGAGTGAGAACCTGGTGTGGCTGAGGTGTCCTCTACGCAGGCCTCTTGAATGAAGTCTTGACTGTAGAGCGTGCCTACAGCAGACAGGTGACAAGTGAGAGGCGAGGAGACCCTGGTGGGGACAGTGAGACTCAGTGGGATTACCACTGAACTACCCCAGCCTCGGTTCTCCTCAGGCCACTCTCCTGAGTTGAATTCTGTGAGTGACTTGAGAATCCACACAGCTGGTTAAGCCAACAGTTACTCACCCCAAAAAACTCTTGTTCCCTTTGTTTAGAGAAGCATAAATCGAATGTAATTCCCGTCACTTGGTGGTTTAAACTCTTGAGCAATACTGTACTTACAATTATACTGTCCTGGCAGCAGAAATCTACTCTTTAAGAGAAGAAAGACTGGTTTTTTTTTTATCTGATTTTGAACTTTCAAGTAAACGATGGAGAGCAGTGGCTCTTGTCCTGCATACAAGATCACTGTGACCAAAGAACGCACTGGGGAGTTCAAGTGTATAAACTGGGGGGCCGGTGTGCTACTGAGGATCTAACTGAAGGCCTTGTTCTCACTGGGCAAGAATTCCATCCCCAAGGCACACTTCTGGCCCCTTCAATATTTCTTTCTTTATTTTTTTTTTTTCCGATTTAAAATTTTTTTTATGTGTGTGAATATGTTGCTCACATGTACATCTGTGTTCATGTGCATGCCTGGTGCCTTCAGAAGCCAAAAGAGACTGTCAAACCCCCCTGGAAATGGTGCTATGGATGGTTGTGAACCACCATGGGGATGCTGGGAATTGAGCCCATGTCTTTGCAAGAAGAACAAGTGCTCTTAATTGCTGAACCATCTCTCTAGACCCCTTGCTCCCTTCAATATTTCTTCAAGCTTGAACCAACTGTAGATGTAACAGAAAAGTTGCAAAGTTGGGGATAAAGTTTCTGGGTGTCCTTCAATAAGTCTCCCCTGAAGTTAACCTCACATGTGACCGTAGCCATGGTTAAAAACAGAAGTACGTAATAAGGGAGGTATCGTGTATCAATCAGGAAAAATAAACTTTTTATTTTTATGTGGTGTTGATGTAACTGGAATGCCCTGAGATTGTCTCTCTTCTTCTTACTACACACACACACACACACACAAAATTCTAAGCCATGACTTTAATCTCAGCATGAGGGAGCATAGGCAGGTGGATCTCTGTGAGTTCGAGGCCAGCCTGCTTTACACCATGAGTTCCAGGACAGACAGAGCTGTTATACACAGAAACCCTATCTCAAGGAAAAAAAAAAAAACCCACAATATATATGAGAGATGGTTCAGCAGTTAAGAGCACTGGCTGCTCTTCCAGAGTACCAGGGTTCAGTTCCCAGCAACCACATGACAGCTCACAACTGTAATCTAGCTCCAAGTGATCTGACACCCTCACACAGACATACATGTAGGCAAAACACCAATTCACATAAAATAAAAATAAATAAATCATTTATGCGCGCGCACACACACACACACACACACACACACACACACACACACACACACTTCAAAGTGACACCCAGCTCAACTGTCTAAAACTCACGTGATGACGTAGCACCTGCCCACATCTGAGACAGCCAACGCCAGGTGTGCCCCCACGTGCCAGTCCACTGAAGGAGGAAGTCGAAGGGCCAGGAGGTCAAGGTCATCCTTAGCAACAGAGAGCCCAAGCCTGAGCTACTGAGACTTTGTCTAAAAACTAGTGAAGTAATAGATAAATGAAGTGAGCCAATGAGAACGTTTACTCTGGCTCAGTGCCAGCCCCTGAGTGGTTGGTCCTGATGCTCTTGAGTCTGTGGTGCAGCACACCATCATAGCTCACCTCAGGGCTCAGAGAAAGAAAGAAGAAGAGGGCAGGGCCCCCCATCCCCTTCCAGGGCACAATGGTCACATATGACTTCCCAGTGGTACTCAGCCAGGGACCAAGATGACATCAGATGGGCCTTTGGAAGACAGTTAAGATCAAACTACTCCAGGCATGTATTTGGAGATTCAAGTTCTTTGTAGCAGTTTAATTCGGTTTTTCCCCTCATTTATCAAAAACTTGAATCACAGGAAATTCCTGTTACTTTCAGTTATGGAGACTCCATCTGTGTGGTCGTCCAGCTCTCTCATGACCGTTGCTTGTTTATATTTAAATTCTATTTGGAATTTGGTCTTTTGTTTTGGTTTTTGAGACAGGGTTTCTCTGTGTAGCCCTAGCTGTCCTGAAACTCACTCTGTAGACCAGGCTGGCCTCAAACTCACAGAGATCTGCCTGCCTCTGCCTCCCGAGTGCTGGGATTAAAGGCATGTGCCACCACTGCCCGGCCATCTCATGTATTTTTAAACATCATCTCTACTATACATCTCATGCTAGCCTTTCTTTTGTCTCAGCCTCCTAAACGCTGGCCTAACAGTTGTGCATCAACACACCCAGCTGAATTTTATCTTTAAAATACGTTATTTGTTTGCTTACTCCTATTCCTCAAAAAAGCCCCATAGTGATGAGTACCCCTGGTACCGAGCAGTGGTCTCTGAATGACGTCTCACACTAACAGAAACCTGGAGTCCTTCAGGAAATGATCAATTCCAGAAAAGAGCCTGAAGTATGTAAAAGCCCTGGGGGACGGGAGGGCTCAGCTGCTAAAGGCAGTTGACCCCAAGGCTGAGTTCACTCCCGAGGATGCTCACATGGTGCAAGGAGAGAACTGACTTCCACAAGCTGTCCTCTGACCTCCACACCTGTGCCACTGCGTGTACATATGAGTGTCACACACACACACACACACACACACACACACACACACACACACACACACACAATGAACGAATGAACGAGTGTGAAAAATATGTGGAAACGCAAGAAAGCAAGTAAGATGTCAAACACACACAATTGTAGCACCAATAACAACAAGAGAGATGGGAAGAAAGCCTTCCCTCCTGACTTTGTGACAATGTCTACTAAGCAGACAAACAAAACACATCAACTGGAGAGCAAGTCCTTTCCCAAACCCACCAGAATAAGTTACGGTTGGGTGGGGAGCTGCTTCCGGTGGGGTTGTGGTAGCTCTGTGTGAGCTGAAATGTGAACTTGAGTGAGAACCTGAGTGAGACCACAAGGAGAGGCAAGTGTAAGAGGAGGATGAGTGAGCTTTTGTCTCGACATCAGAAACCCTGCCGAAGTGAGGAGCAGGCGGGGCTGAATTTGAATTGTGTTCCAAGTGCCAGGGAAGGCAGCTGGAGTGGTTTTGCCAGGAAATAACAGAATTTGATTTGCATTTTAAAGAGGAGGTTCTGGCTGCTGAGAAGAAGGGGTGACTTAATAAAAACAACGTAAAGGCAAATAAGGAGATGTGTGTAGCAGTCCGCAGAATAACAGCATAGCGGTGCAGTGGAGGAAAGCGGGTGGGCTGGGCCGACACATCCGAGAGAAAACCGTACGGGACGATCTAGGCTTTCTTCCCAAAGCAATGAGTAGATTGTGGGGTTATTTGCTGCCAGGCAGAAGGTGAGGAAGAATCCATGAGAGAGGAAGCAAATCCAAGATCGGAACAGGAACACACACGGGAGCCTTGGTGAGCTGATTTGAATATTTACCTATTGAAAGATATGTAAAGTAGAAAGGTTTCACATATCTCACCATCCTTGGCAGTCAAGGTTTTTCGGGTCATCGCTGCGGCCACCTTGCCTTTTGTTGATCTATATCCCTTTCTTCTCAGCTGCTTGTATTCACAGCTCGGCATCATCTTCAGTCAAATCCGAGCTCCCGAGGGTAACCTCAGGCGGACAAATTCTCCTGCTTCCCCAACCTTAGGTAAACAAAAATGGTTATTTCCCATTGCATTGCACTGTCTCCATTTCCCAGCGGTCTGTAACTCACGATCTTGTGCCGTTCTCCAGTCGCTCCTGGTACCCCTCGAGAGGGTGGACTCAATGGTCCAGCACTTTCGTGCCCCACTCTGGGTAGCATGAAGCTATGTAACAGTTAGAGCTTGGCACGGTCAGGCCTTTTCTTGGGGACTCAGTCATTCAGGGTCAGGACCACATAGAGGCAAAGAAGGTACATATAGCCACAACATGTAGCGTGTTACTCACCATGAAATCGCAGGGTCAAAAAACACGGATATTTTTTATTCTTCTATGTACTATATAGTCGACAGTGCCTTCCTAAAAGACAGTAGCCACTTACAAAGCTGTCACAAATCAGCCAGTCTATCACGTGATGTTTTGTCAAAATTGGGTATCTACTTGCATGTGTATGTGCATGTGTGTGTGTGTGTGTGTGTTTATAATCATTATTGTTTCAGATTATAGTTGAGACTTAAAGCATTCTTTAATGACATTGCTTTACACATTTAGCATTAAAAACAGACCAAGCACAGTCAAAATCAGCGTGACATGGGATCTGTAGGACATACTAAGAACCAACTTAGGCGGGGCATGGTGGTGCACACCTTTAATCCCCACACTCAGAAGCAGAGGCGGGTGGATCTCTGAGCTTGAGGCCAAGCTGGTCTACAGAGCGAGATCCAGGACAGTGAGGGTACACAGAGAAGCCCTGTCTCTAAAACAACAACAAAAAAGAACCAACTTGAGGCTTACATTGTGAAATGAAAATTCAACCCACCTCTTTTCTTCCTCCCATCCTTCCTTCCTTCCTCTTCCTTCTTTCTTTCCTCCCCCTCCCTCCCTTCCTTCCTTCCTTCCTTCCTTCCTTCCTTCCTTCTTTTTTTTGCTTTTTCTCACAATCTAGTCCGTGCTGGCCTCAAACGCATGATGTTCCTGGCTCAACCTCCCCGGTGCTGGCATTCCTCACTCAGGACCAAGACCAAGTCAAGGGAAGAGGGTGAGGGAATCCTCCACAGTAGCTGCCAGTGTGACCCAGCTGGTAACGGTGTGACTGCCAATGTCCTTAACCATGGGCAAACTGTGAGGAGCGGTGATCTCTGCACGTCTCCATGTTTTCACCCAAGTTAATCACTGAAGGATTCGCACCTGCAAGAGAAAGGCCCTTCGAGTTCGGGAACAAATGTAAGTATGTGGACAAATGGACAGGGACAGACAGTGTGGCCAGAGCCTCTCTGCTAACCAAGGTTCGTGTTGAACTTGCAATTTCCTAACAAAGGCTGCAGTGGACGCCATAGGAAAAAAATTAGACCAGTGACTAATTCATGACAGAGATTATCGAGATAAAATATAATTCTGAGGCCAGTTTGAGCTTAATCGGCTTACCTGGGATTGTGGGGTATAGCACCCGAATATGAAGAAAAGAGCATAAAACACATTTCCTACATGTAGCAGGTCATTAGAACATGAGAAAAAGACACGTATCCTGACTCTTCATATTGTTACAAGTACAGGATAGAGGAAAAAAATCTAGTAAAAGCTGAAAGAAATTCACTGAAAACAGTTTAAACTACAACTAAAAAAGAAAGTCTGTCAGGTGTGGTGGCATGTTCCCTTTAATCCCAGCACTCAGGAGGCAGAGGCAGACCGTTCTCTGTGAAGTAGTGACCAGCCTGGTCTACAGGGATTTCCAAGCCAACCTGGTCTACCGAGCGAGTTCCAGGACTACACAGTGAGACCCGTCTCCAATCAGAAGAAAAAAGTCTATCAAAGAGGATAATAGACTTTTCCTTAGGACTTCTAGAACTGGAAAAGGGCCTACTAGACCTGTACAGAACAAAAGAAGTCATTTTTTAAAGGTATTTACATGTGTATGGTGTATGTGTGTGTACATACGTGTATGGGAGTGCCTAGGTAGGATGTGGAAGCCAGATGTTCACGTCAGATGTCTCACTCAGTCACTTTCCACCTTATTTTCTGGGACAGGGTGTCCCACGGGATCTGGAGCTCATGGATTAGTTAGACTGGCTGCCAGGCCCTGGGAAACCCAGCTCTACGTCTCAGCGCTGACACAGGTGTGCGTCACCACACCCAACTCTTTACGGGAATGCTAGAGATCCGGACTTAGGTCCTCAAGCTTGTACAGTGAACATTTACCCACTCCGTCCCCACCCCACCCCCACTTCCTCACCACCCCCACCCCCCACCCCCCATCCCACCCTGCTGAGCTCTAATGTCTTGAAGATGTAAGTCCTGGCTGTTTGGGCCACGCAAGACTTTTCTGAGTATATGCTGAGACATGCTCGCCTTTACTGAGGGATGTAATTGGTCAGAGGACTCAATGGACACACTTCACTCACACCAAAAATGCAATGGGAGATGGGTTGAGGAATGTCAGAATGTCAAAATGCTCTTGACGGTGGTTCCATAATTCTAGGCATCACAGTGAAAGTGGCCCCGGCAGAAACTCTCGTTGAATATAAGCCCAGGGTAAGGGGCTCGGCCCAACCTGGAGGTGGCTCCAAAGGTTTCCAGAACTCCTGTTTTGACCATCAGGAGCCACTGGTTAACTTTTAAGCCGAAGGACCGAAAGGTAACTGCTGCTAACCATGACGGCTGCTGGCGATTCCCGAGGCGCACGTGGTGGAAGGAAACTGTAGAGAGTGTAAACTGAGGCAAAGATATAAACTGAGGGAAAGGTGTGGTTGGAGGTGTGCACCAGTCCGGACGCTGTCAGGCTCGACTCTTCAAACCTCTGAACCTCCTGTGCAGGTGAAATATCCACCCCCAACCCCCTTCGATCACTTTTTTCCAACCCAAATTACTGTCATTCCTATGAAATTGCTTTTCCAAATGGGTGGATCCCTGGAATCCACTTGGTAAAGTAGAGAATGGATTCTAGAAAAATGTCTTCTGACTCTACACTCTAGCTCTATGACTTGCATGCACACAGACACACACACACACACACACACACAGAGAGAGAGAGAGAGAGAGAGAGAGAGAGAGAGAGAGAGAGAGAGAGATACATACACACCTCATGCACAATAAATAAATAAATAAATAAATAAATAAATAAATAAATAAATAAATAAAAATTTTAAACGTAGACCAGTCATTTCAAAATTGCTCTCCCAGTAGGGTTGAAACAAAGCGTATATTAGTTACTTTTCCCCACATGCTGACTGTCAGGTCCAAGCCTTCCTCAGGAACTTACGAAATGGGGTGGGGACAGGCGCCTGCCAGAAGGATCCACTTCTCGTGGGTAACTGAGGTTGCATGTCACAGCCCACGCTGACCTCTCCGCTCCTTTGATCCTTATCCACATGTACCTGCCATGCATTTCAAAGCCCACTCGAATGTCCTGGCCTGTCTCACCTCCTCCTCTACCTAACGCAAGCTTTTATTAAATACTGGCCAGGAGACTGGACTCTGGACTCTGGCCAGGTCCATCTCTGGATTTCTAGAAAATGGTCACGAGCCATGTTTTATAGAGGTTAAAAAAGGCAACCCCATGCCAGGATGGTGGTGGGACACAACTTTACCTCTGAGTTTAAGGCCAGCCTGGTCTACAAAGTGAGTTCCAGGGCAACCAAGGCTACACAGAGAAACCCTGTCTTGAAAGAACAAATAATAATAATTTTTTAAAAAGGTCAATCCCATAGGGAGATCCTGCCCCATGCCTCACAGAAGAGCTGGTCCCATCTGTCTGCCAAGGACCCACAGCTCTGTGTTGTGTGGGCCTAGGACAGCCAGCCCCACCCTGCTGCGGCCACCACAAGGCTCTCCTCCTCAGCTGATGGCTTCTGGCACAGATGCAGGCAGAGAAACACACACTCTCCCTTTGGGGACTGCCCACTAGGAGTTTTCCCAGGGAGTACATGGACCACACAAAATGGGCTTGGTTTTTGTTGTTGTTTGTTTTTGTGGGGAGCAGTCACGGGGAAAATGGTGGGCATGGGGAGATTGGGAGGTGAGTGCGATCGGGGTGCAAGATGTGAGATTCCCAAATAACCAATTTAAAAAAAAAATAACTATAAAAAAAAAAAAGGCAACCCCACAAGGCCATCGTATTTCCCATCACGTCTAATCAGGGGCAAGCAGAAATACTGGCGTACTTCTTGCGTTTGTGCCTCCCGTTTACACCCAACCAGGGACAATCGTACATCCTGATGTATTTCCTGCCCACATACCTCCAGCCTACATGTAATCAAGCACTCCAGTGAAGATGAGGTGTAGATGAGTCAGGCAGACTTGCCGAGGTGATTGGAAACATGCTGCTTGTTATCTCCCATAAGCAAGAGCCTCCAGCATCTCAGGAAGTATCTGTCCTTGGGCAAGGGGCTCACAGGTTAGATGCATTTTTATTTCATGGATCTCCTAGATACAGAAATGAAAACTTAAAGCATAGCTTTGGACCTCACAATATGCCCCCCAAAACATTAAGAATCGTGTCTTCAGGCCCAGTGAGATAGCCCAGCAGTTAAAGGCACTTGCAGCTAAAACCTGACAACTGAGCAGAGAGATGGACCGGCAGTTAAGAGCACTGGATGTTCTGCCATAAAACCACCCACCTGGTGGTTCACAACCGTGTATAACTTCAATTCCAGGGGATCCAACATCTTCTTTTGGCCTCTGTGGTGCATGGACACACACAATCAAAACATACATACACATAAAAATAAATTCAACTTTTTTAAAGAGTTGGGGAGGAAAAAAAAAAAAAGAAACCTGACCGTCTCGGTTTGATCCCTGAAATCCACAAAAACAAAACAAATAAACAAACAAAAAAGACACCTGATGTGGTGGCTCATAACTGCAATCCAGAACTTCCATAAGAGATGAGAGACAGAATTGCTCAGAAGCTCACAGCTGTGCAGCACAGCTGGAACAAAGACAAGGCTTTTCAACGGATGGATGGAGAGAGCAGACTTCCAAAAGCTCCCTTCTGACCTCCACATGTGGCTGTGGCACTCGGGTGGCTGCATGCACGGGCAGGCACACACCACAGATAGAGGGGAGCGGGGAATAATGATAATAATAATAATGATGATGATAATGATGATGATGATAATAAAACATTATAATATTTTCAAATAAAAAGAACTATGCCTAACGTCTGGCAAGTGCTCAGTCTGTTGTAGAAACAAAACAAAATAGGGCCAAGCATGTGGGTCAGAGCAGAGTGTTCACCTAGCATGCCCTGGCCATGCGTTCAGTCCCTAGCACTTCAGGGAGGAAGAGAGAGAGAGAGGCAGGAAAGAAGACAGAAGAGAAAGACAAAGAGAAATGTCTGATCAGAAGCCTGGCATGGTGGCACACATCTCTAATCCCAGCATTCAGGAGGCAGAAGCAGACTGATCTCTCTGAGTTCCAGACCACCCTACAAGTCAGTTCCAGGACAGTCAGGACTACATCGAGACCCCTGTCTCAAGAAACAAACAAACTAACAAAACACAGTCTGCTCGGGTCTGTAATTCCAGGTTGCCTAATGTTTCCTTATTTATTATATTAAAAGAGGGAGATAAGGTGTAAAAATCAGTAAGCTTTGCCAGGCAGGTAACACCCATCAGCTTCTGAGTGATTCACATCCCCTCCCCAGAAAGGTGTACAATCACAGTTAGTCCATTGTAAGGAAAGGAACATACCCTATTTGGTAAGAGAGATCTCTTATCCACTTCTGTCTGGTTTACCACAGCCAATCAGAACACAGGACTCTGCTCTTTGGCCGGCTGGCCGCCCCTGAAAGCTGATCACCTCGGCTCTCCTCCGAGCTTAACT